GCTTCCAATAACAACTGGTATCAAAGAACAAGACCTATTAAAAAATTGTCATTTCAGAGAACTTTTATCCTTAAGACATATTACAGGATAATTTTTCTCATAATAAACTATGACCTTGCTAGTTGATTGCACATCCTGCTGTTACTCAGTAAATATTTGGAAACCACATTTTAACTTTATATTGATAAAAAAAAAAAGTAACCATATATATGGTTACTTTTTTTTTTATCAATATAAAGTTATAAAATGAATTTCAACAACTGAACATAATTATATACATACATTTAAAACTGTAACCCTAGCTTTGACAGGGCAATGTTTAGTTTTGTTTACACACAAAAGAATTACTTCACCATTTCTTCTAATAAAAAGAAAACTGAAGATGGTCATACAATTTTTTTTTGCTTTAGTTTTTAAACTCTGTAGTGTAGAAATTTATAGTATTTGAATTATGCTAAGAGATATTTTTTTATAAGCCCATTGTGAGTTTGGCCAGACCCTTAGTATGGTGGCTAAATCTATGCTGTACAAAATTTATACAACCAAATCAATCTACCAGCCATAACTTTTGAGCCAGACTAGACACAAATCCAATTTTCCAGACCAGTAGGTTGATGCTTTCACTGTTTAAGCTAGAAATTGCAAAGAAATTGCAATTGATTTAATGCTAATTAGCATTATACCAGTAAACATACCAGTAATTTGATACTTTTTTACCAGTGAATTTTGTAAAAATAGTTGCATCTAATAATTTTATTAAAGCCAAATATTTATTTGTATATACAGTAGACCCCCCCTATAATGCGTAGATACGTTCCATGTTATAAGAATTTCACGTTGTAGGAATCCTTAAATACATGAGCCAATCATAGCCCGACATGTGTGAAGTTTACGGGCTATGGCTGTTTGAAAGGTTTTCTTCCATAAAATTAATCAATTCTAGACTAATTCAACTCAACATTTCCAAAAGACGTATAATTTTTTGGGAATAATCTGTATAAACTATACTATAAACAAAAAATTGTAGGATTACTTACCGAGTGTGCACCATTCGACGTCGCCATTGCTTAAGCTTGTTTTCGTTGCGGAGCAGCGCACCAAACAGCGGCTGCGATTTCTGATAAATTATTTTTCTGCAAAAATTCGTTGAACTTTGGAGACATCATTAATATAAATAATTTTTATGGCCGTTGAATAAGAAATGTTTCTTTCACAAGAAATGTATAAAATTACAGTGCTGTATTAGACTTACAGTACCTAATTTACATACTGTACAGACGATAGTAAACTCAACTTACCCACCTATCATAGTTAGACTCTCCATAGCGTGGCGCTAGATGGCGGAAAGTATATATATAATTACTAGCTGCAAGGACCCACTTCGCTGGGTTTTTATTTGTATGTAATATAGTTTTTTTTATATAAAAGACTGTTTTTCTAAGTATTCTAGAATCTTGCTGCGAGGACCCGCTTCGCTGGGCAAAAAGTAACGATAGTGAAGATTAAGATAATTACATTATAGCCAATCTTACCTGTTTTCACAGAATGCAAGAATTAGGTCCACCATTTCCAGACTAATTAGAGAATTTTTGCATGAGTCTAAAAATATGTTTGCAATAAACCGCCTGTAAATCTTGCCTGCCACTTTATATTAATACTTCCTTTGTTACTCAACACTTCCATTGTTAACACTTCCACTGTTAACACTTCCATTGTTACACATCTTCGAAGTCAACCACTTTCAACCCCATATCTCCCAAACCCTTATAGCACAGAATGCAAGAATTAGGTCCCCTGTTTCCAGACTAATTAGAAAATTTTTACGTCCAGTCAAATGAACTATTTTCAATTTGATCAATTTTCTGGAACGTTTACAATCGTTCTATAATCGAATCAATTCGAATTCGAATACAAATTCAAATTTAAAATGGTGTGAACATTTTTAAAATCAAAATAGAAAATCTTCGATGTCAACCACTTTAAGCCCCCATATCTCCCGCACCCTTATAGCTATCGAGATGCAAGCACCATAGTGCACGAATGGAGACTTGGGGCTACTACCACATACAAACACCATTCATGTGCGATGTGTAGTTTTGGCTGAAAAGTGACATATAGGGACACACACGTCCATTTTTATATATATATATAGATAGATAGATAGATAGATAGATAGATATAGATAATAAAGTTACAATACATTAAGTTAATATATAATTATATATACAGTACCTAATTTATATATAATACTGTACAGACGATAGTAAACTCAATTTACCTGCCTAAACTCTCCGTAGCGTGGCGCTGGACAACGTAAAGTAGTTTGGCTGCTCATCCACTATTGGTCCAGATTCGACCAATCCTGTCGCGACACGAGTCGGTGACGACATTTTATGAGTTTCTTTTAGCATCCTTATACGAATACTGTTGCAATTTTTTTCCACGTTATAGGAATCTCCGTTATTGGATCCCACGTTATAGGGGGATCTACTGTATATATATAAAATCTTCCCAATTATCTATATCTATACTACTATATAAAGAGACAATGTATTTTTCGTTTGTGACCACTAACCGTGAAAACTACTGAACCAATTGTTGCCAAATTTTAACTGTAGCATCTTTATGATCCCTGGAATGTTTACCACTAGTCAAACTTACAGATTTTTTATTAATTAAATAAAACTGCAACGGATTTTTGTCTATTTATTTGTCTCTTTCTTCACTAGATGGTGACGCTCGAATTAGTACTTTCTGCCTATAAGAAAAGTCTGTTATTGATGTCAGTTTTTCAAATATAATAGTAAACATTAAATTGTTATTAGTTAATTAGCAAAATCTTTGAGAAATTAAAAAAGTGATGTCATCACTCTAGATGGCAGTATGTGTACTTATGGTGGGTTTTCGAATCGTTACGCATTAATTTCTGCAGGTAATTGTACAAAATATTCAAAATAGTTATTGGATTTATCTCAAGTAAATATTTTTTTTTTAAATTGATTGATAAATAATGCTGAGAGCTGTGAGAGCATGTAAAGGAATAAAAAGTTCTGGAGCTATTGTTCATAATTGTAGACAATGTGAATCTACAGCAGAGTGGTCTCAAAGATTGGAAGAGCAATGAATTTGTTCGGCTCAGAATCGAATGTGTATAGCAAGGAATTTTTTAGGTTTCAAATCAATATAACTTATTCAGAAGTTTTATGATTTTATTTTTTTTATATTTTGCAATACTCTACTGCAATGCTACACATTGATCACACAAAAATAATTAATGAACAATTAATTCAAATTTTCAAAGTTCTATATGTATATAAGAGCAGGCAAGCCGCTACAGGGGATGCTAGTTGAGCTATAATATTATAATGCATAATTATTAAATTAGTCTTATTATAGTCCTTAATATAACCTTATTATCAAATTCCAGGGAAAAAGAGAATTTGATTGTAAAAGTGCATTGTTTTTATTTCGTGCAATGTTTCAGTCAGTCCTTCAGAGGCATCAGTTAACTCTTTATGGCTGGCTTGGTTGTGAAAACATGAAAAAGATAGAAGTTATTGTACCACACTTGTGAGATAATGCCAGTTTCTTAATTGTGATGTCTTCATCGTTATTTTGACCTTTTAATATAACTTTTATGTATTTTATCTTGTGAGTTTAATTGAAACACCAACTGATGAGGGATTATTTTAAAGTCCAAAATGCACTTTGGGTGTACTTTACATATTCTATACATATTGGTTTTAATTATTGTAAAATCTCTTTTTGTAAATTTAAATAATATTAAATTTAAGAAATTTTTATGTTCGTGTTCACTGGTGTGATAAGCTCTAACATTACTGTTTTAAGTTAGTAGAAAAGTTTAACTTTCACTTATGCTTATATATTTTTGTGTGCTAGACATAGAAGCATCAAAAGTTTTTATTTAAATTGGATATAAAAGTAGTTTTGTTTATGTCGGTTATGCTTTAAGTTATTACTTTACTGTTCTGTACAATTATTAAAGTGTCCTATTTCAGTGCCATGCAGTTCTGCAATTTATTTGTTTACCTGTAATGCATAAAGTAGACCAACAATTTTAGTTGACAAAGTGGAACACATTTATTTGAATGCGAGAGCTGAACTGGTCACTCTTCTGAACTTTCTTTCTTCCTACTGGAATTATTGCAACTAAAGAATTATTATGGGTTTTATTTTTCCAATAATGAAACCATTGGTTTTTAAAATAGAGGAAAGGAAATTTAATTGGACACTACTAGTGAATGTTTAATTATCAGCTTGTCAGTCAGTTGTCAACTAAACAATTACTGGTGTAATAGTTTTCTCATTTAGTGTTAAATTTTAAAAATTACTGGTAATTTATTGGTAAACTAATAATATTTTACAAATTTACTATTTTAACAGTAAAATGTTGGTAAATTTGCAACCTCTAGTTTTTCATTCGGTCATAAACATAGATATTATGTTAGATGAGAATTCGTAACAAAACTGTCAATTCTGATTAATACATTAATAATATGAAATCATTGAAATTTGTATTTCAAGTATTTTCATATATCTATACATTTATATGAATATGAATTTATAAGACCGCATTGTCATTTGATATTAAATTTTTCAAGAAATTGTTTAAATATTTTTGAAGTACAGTAGTCTCTCTATAGTGTCACTCGCCAGCTTGAAACATTCAGTAATCTGACATCCATCAGCCCAATATACAGTATATCAGATAACAGAGATTCTACTATTTTAAATGTTTAGTAAAAAGATTTAGAATCTTTAAAGTCAATAGAAGTTCAGATGTATTTGAGTCATTAATAAGCATTTAAACTTCAATTCACTTCAGCATAAAGAAAATATTTTAAATATATCCTATATAATATAACTTTTAATATATAGATTTTTAAAATTACAGCTTTGTCATGTATGTGTATTGTCTATGAAGAAAAAAGATTGGTTGCATGAATTAATATGCTTTTATTGTATTTTTTTACCTGTAGGCAATTGATCCTATTTCAGAAGAAGATAAGGAAGCAGGTGAATTAAGTGGTGAAGAAGAAAATAAAGAAATAAATAATCAAATCGAGCATGGTTCTGAAGAAACTGATTCCGACGATGACGACGACGATGCTGTACAGGTTGGTTTTGAAATATGTTTTTATTAATGAAATATAATTGCAAAGCATATTAAGATCTACTGATTCAAAAGTTTATTAAATAGAATATAGCATAGTGAATGTAATTGAACTTGAACAACATATAAAATGCTAATATTTTCATAAGTCCAAATTTTAATTATATTCTAATGCCATAGAACTTTTTCTAACATCTCATCTTCAGATTCACTTCAACTATTTCCCAAAGATAGACATTCCAACCAGTGTTCTTCAACCATTATAACTTTTTATACAGGTTCAAATTATTCAAACTTTTCACAAGAATTTAAGCCACATTAAACACTAAGAGATATCATGACATTAATCCTAGTCATACTGATTATGGAACATGAGTTGCTGTTGAGTATCCCTGAGACTGACATCAAACAAACATCTTCATTTAGGATCATTTTCATTTTATCATTGACTCCATATAAACATTACACCAGCATTATAAAATGCTAAATTTTTTCTGGAAGTCCATTTGATACCCTTGAAGTATATAACATAGTTTAAATTCTTGTTAGGAATTCAATTAATTTGAATCTGTATAAAAAGTTATAATGTCTGTAGAACACAGGTTGGAATGCACATTCAATTTTAATAGTAGTTGAAGCTGATCTGAAGATAAATGTTTAAAAAATCCTTAAAAAAATAAGAGATTTATTTTATTTAATCACATTAGAATTTAATTAAAATGTGGATTTCTGAAAAATAAGCTTAAATGTTATATAATGTTTATGATGATTATAACAAACTTGCATAAGTAGATATGTAAGTTATAGAAATCTATTGTTTATTTTAGAGATATTTAAAAATTAGTTTTAAAAAATTGATATCTCTTTTTATTAATAAAAAAAACATTGCCTGCAATTAAAATCTTGAATATAATTTTTACTTAATCTAATTATAAATGTTAATTAATTTATCATAAAAATAATGATAAAGATTATTAAGATTATTATTATAAAAGTATTAAATTAATAAAATCTGACAGCTTCACAAATTTCAGTAAACTATTTTGTTTGGCCCGTCATCAATTTTTTCTGTTGCCTAATAATTCCTCAGTACAGCCAGTTTAGAGAAGATTGTTTAGCTGTAAATTCAGTTAGATTCCATTTCAGTATTTCATCTGGAATTTTTTTACTTTTTGCCAAATAAAGATTTTATTAGCCACTGCATGTGATCTATTTGTAATCATTTCTCTATTAACACTTTCATATTTTATAATGAACTGTGTGTATTTTTTGTTTCGTTGTCCCAAATTAGTAAGTATGATACAGGTAAAAAGTTGTTTTCTTATGCATAGACTAAATAGAGAGAACTTTACTTTGTAATAATGGGAAGTGCTTTCATAAGAGACAATTGGGCATTGTGGCAGTCATTTTTTTTTTAAATGTTAAGCCTTTCCTTCCAAAGGAGCAAGGCAGATATTACAAATTACAATGTAGGACATTGTCAAAAAGTTGGCAAGAAACAATTCAGCATTAGTGTGTGGGTGTGTCTGATGATGAATAAACATGCAAATGCACAAACTCGCACACAAAGTACAATTTCAGTGTAAATTTATAATTAATAAAAATTCAATCAGTTAGTTTTTTACTTTAAAAGATATCTATTTTATGTTAAGAAATATGCAGATTAAATAGATATAATATGTAGCTTGTTAAATGTAAATTTAGAGCTGATAAAATTTTCATAAAATAAATTTAATGATAAAATAATATGAAATTAGTTAATGATTGCATTTCTATATTGTAAATTTTAGGTTACAATTGGTGATATCAAACCACCACCTTATGGTTACAGTGGTACTCCTGTTAATCTTAATATTAAAAGAGGTACCTTTGGAAGCACCACCACTACAGGACCATCTACCAAAACAAAAGGTATCGACATGGATTCGGTTGGATCTATCAACGGTGTTCCTGTATATGAATTTAATTTGGATACACTAGAAGATAAACCATGGCGTAAACCTGGAGCCGATATCACAGATTACTTTAACTATGGCTTTAATGAAGAAACATGGAAAGTATATTGTGAAAGGCAGAGGAAATTACGAATTGATAACAACGTAGTAAGTAAGGTAAGTTTATTCATTGACATAAATTTCTAAAGCAAATAAAAATAATTATACAATTGAAATTATTTTAGTAACGAATTGATAGATCCAGATTAACCATTGGGCTAGAACTTAGGACACTATCTTTATAATGAATTAGCTAACTATTTGTTTACCAAATTATGTAATATTTGTTTAATTAACTATCCAAGTTTACTCTATTAGTTAATCTAGTGGTACCATTTGATGATTAAAATAATTAGGACTCTGGATTTAGTCGTTCATATTGGTTTGGCAGAACTGCTTCCCAAAATATTAGTTTGGCAAACCAGTTGTTTAAATTGTATTTGTAATGCAGGTATTTATTTAGATAATTAAAAACTAACTACTCACCACACCAATATATCAATCACATACATTGAACCAATTTACAGTGTGGTATGATTGACTAACAAGTAAAAAACAAATGTTTTCAAACCCCTTCTGGGCTCTTCATCAGGTTCCTACAGTTTTAGCTCGTAAATTTGATTAATGAATGTTGTTCAAATAACTTTGTTCTTGAGTTCGAACAGTTCCTTTTAAAAAATTATACGTCGTGCATGCGTGACGAGTCCGCCTGCTCGGATGTAACGAGTGGCTAAAGCGTGCTGTGTATCAACTCTTGCCAGGCCATCGACAAAAGCATCTCCTCTTTAAAATTTATGCACGTGGTTTCGATAGAGGATTATTGCGATGCACATCTTTAAATCCTCTATTGAAACCACATTCATAAATTGAATAAATAAATAAATAAAAATATTTATTTATTCAATTTATATTTCAATTTCAAAATTCAATTTCAGATATCATGAAAACCAAAATGCAATAACAATTCCAAGAGACATTACAGATTTATTCAGATTGAATGATTTTCCAGATAGCATACATCTGATAATAAGTTCCATAGCAAAAAAATAATAACCGAACTGAACATAGATGTATTTGCAAACCCAACAGAAATATTATGAAATCAATTAATGTTTAAATAATTTTATAAATCCCAAGCAGTGGTGGGTTTCAAATAATTTAACAATAGGTTTGCTACACTAGTGAATGTTTTATGTATAAAAATCAATATTTATTTATAATTATGTTGTATCCTCTAATTAATAGTAGCATTAGTGTACTTGTGAGGTGTAACTGGTTATGCTGATATCCAGTTAAAACTGATCATATTAAATATAGGACACTTCCGTGTTGTGGCGTTATTGACAGCGATCTGTTAAATTTCAGATATGCTCACTAGTACTTTCAACAGTTTACAACTGTCGTCTTCAGGTGAAATCAAATACCTTTGTTTTCGAATTGACAGCTTTTAATGGACTTTTCAAATTATGTAATGCACGTGATTGGAATATAGAACATATTAATAAAAATTGAATGAATAAATATTTTTATTTATTTATTCATTCAATTTTTATTAATATGTTCTATATTCCAATCACGTGCATTACATAATTTGAAAAGTCCATTAAAAGCTGTCAATTCGAAAACAAAGGTATTTGATTTCACCTGAAGACGACAGTTGTAAACTGTTGAAAGTACTAGTGAGCATATCTGAAATTTAACAGATCGCTGTCAATAACGCCACAACACGGAAGTGTCCTATATTTAATATGATCAGTTTTAACTGGATATCAGCATAACCAGTTACACCTCACAAGTACACTAATGCTACTATTAATTAGAGGATACAACATAATTATAAATAAATATTGATTTTTATACATAAAACATTCACTAGTGTAGCAAACCTATTGTTAAATTATTTGAAACCCACCACTGCTTGGGATTTATAAAATTATTTAAACATTAATTGATTTCATAATATTTCTGTTGGGTTTGCAAATACATCTATGTTCAGTTCGGTTATTATTTTTTTGCTATGGAACTTATTATCAGATGCATGCTAGCTGGAAAATCATTCAATCTGAATAAATCTGTAATGTCTCTTGGAATTGTTATTGCATTTTGGTTTTCATGATATCTGAAATTGAATTTTATTTGTTCATTGTAAATCTTTTTGCAAAAACATGATAATAGTAAATTGTGTACACATCTATAATTTATTTCCATAATTCTATAGATGTATCAGAATATATTTAAAAGAAATAAGTAATTAAATCTTATTTTGCATTACAATTTGTTGTTCAAAAATTTTCCTTTGTGATTGTTAAATGATAAATTTTAATCAGAAAATATTTATAACTTTTCACGATTAAAGTGTTTATTGTTGAAATAAGAAAAACAAATTTTGTGTAATAAACTTGGCATTATAATTAACATATATGATTACAATTATTTTTCAGACTCAACCTGCTACTGGAAAAGATCAACAAATTCCAGTTGCAACGGTTAATGAAAACAGTAAATATTCAGGTTTAGGAGGACTTACAAAAAAAGCAGGTCCGCCACCTGGGAGAAAAATGTCAGGTAGCATTGATGTCATTGGAGGTGGAACACCGTCATTGCCTAGTCGCAGACCTGCAAACAGTCCAAGAGAAAATGTCATTCAGGTACTAAGATTTTAATTTTCAGTCATTTAGTTCATTATTGTAACTTCTAATGTCTCTTAAAAAAATTGAACTATGGATTCTTCTAGAATTCTTTTATTTTAATTCATCCAATAGTTCCACAGAACCAAAACTCTTCATTTACACCAATTATCCAAGCTGGAACTGATATAGAATCACAAATTATGATACACACACTTCCAGAAAAGTAATTTATTAAAACGAAAAGCTAAGTCACACAACTGTCTTCTTCAGGTAAAATCACTCATAGTAAACAGACATTTGATTGGAGGAATAGAACATTTTCAAATTATTTCTCATGCACAAGCATGGAAATTACATAATATATATGTAAAAAACTATAAAATTATACAATATTAAAAAGAATATGACATACAAAGAAATAATGCTAATAAAGATAACAATATTAAAATACAAAACTAAAGAAGTAATAATAAAGTAAATAATAAATAAATACAATGCAGTAACATTGATGTGAGATGTTTTATCACACACCACACAACCCATGATTTTGAAAAGCTTAAACAGCACTGTTCACAGCTCCAGTATATTGATTAAGGGAGAGTTGCACAGCAACATTGATGCCATGAAAATGATGTCATATGAACAATGTTCTTTGGTCCCCACAGTATTTAAGAAATGAAGTTTGTGACCTAAGTGGATCTAAGTTACTCTTTTTTAGCAAGTTCTGTTGTATATCTGTTAAGTACAACATCTTCGTGATATTTTGCAAGGTGTAGATGAGCATTCTGGCAGTTGTCCCAATATATAATATGTTTGACACAGCTGTGGATTTTGTAAGGGTATAGCATATACTCCAAATTTTTCAGAATTGACCCTGTCTAATTTTTCAAAGAATCCTATGTAACATGGGTTGAAGCACTAGTGGCAAAATATAACCAAACTTCTTGAAAACTTTGCAAATACATAATTTATTAAAATGTACAAATGTTTTCAGCTTATTTCAGAAACATGCTTCATGTTCAACCATTACATTTGAAGGCTTATAGAGAATTCTATTTTGGAATGCTTTAAAAATTCTTTAATGTTATTACTTTTTATAATAACCTTAGTGCTTACCATACATTTACAAAATTTATTAATATACCACACACAATATAAAACTTACCATATTTACTCGCATATAAGATGAGGTTTTTATTCATTTTTCACTGCTTCAAAAACCTAGGTCGTCCTATACACGCGTACGAAGGAGATTTTACATATTTGCAATAATTTTTGTGAACATTGTATTTGCACTTTTTACTGGATGTTCATCCTCTGGTGTTTAAAAACAAAAGTATTTTATCTAGCTTATTAATTAATCTTTCTTGTGTATTGTCAGAAGTAAAGATGAATAGCAATAGGAAAAGCAGAGCTTTTGAATTGAATTCCAAATTGAAATTCCAAAATCACACGGGAGCTCAATATAAGTTATAATCCATTCCCATGTGAAAATAGTTGATTATTTGGAAATCAGAATTTGGAGAAACTCATAAGTTTGATCTATGGAGAGTGGATTCGACTGTTAAGAATTGGTGAAAAAGGTTCCTGATTGTCCAGTTTTACATGTGAACAAATTATGTTGTTGATTTTACAAGATTTTTTTTAAAGTTTAAAATGCCAGTAATTTTTGCAGGACAAAATGTGTGCATTTAATATTTTATTTGTGATTAAACAAAATAAAATTAGAATTGTATTAATAAACCTAATTTTCTTTATTTTGATCCTTAAAGTCACACCTCGTCCTATAGCCGAGATCGTCTTATATGCAAGTAAATATGGTATATAAACATGAGACTATAAAATAATACTTATAACTTAAGATTGGGTTTGTATTTTAGCTTTTACTGCACATCCCACTCCTTTATACTTCTAACAGGGCTATCAAACAATGCTTGCCAGGCAATACACAGTAGACAGTGCTGTACAGTCTTTATTATTAATGCATGCCTCTTTTAAGCCTTTTCTTATTGAAATTAGTGGACATCCCAGGCTCACTGACATATTGGGCAGATGTGGTTAATTAATGATTTTTTTTTTATTAATACAGTATTAATACTAAATTTTTTATAACACTGATGCTTTTTATTTCTGTGGGACAATGATCTGTTGGTGGATCCAATTTAAGTTAGGTGTCCATATATCAGGACAGAGTATACCCAAGGGCTCTACTTGCATCTCATGTATCTTTACAGTTTGTTAGCATTCTATGGACAGTTGCATTGTGCCAATAAGCTGTATGGGATGGCATATTTAGTTATTAGCACATTTGCCAAACTTAGCTTAGGATCATAATCTATAATTATAGTCTGCTGGCTTTGTGTGCATGGTTATAACTATGTTCTCCCTTGATGCTGATGTTTAATATAAACACCTTCTGTTTTCATGCCAGGCTGTGTATAAGTTTTTTACTGTACCTGTGCATGTTTGCAATGTTTTCTATGTGCTTTAGCTTGCTCATTGTGTTTTCAATGTTGGAGCGTACTGCTCCAACATTGAAAACACAATGAGCATGTATGCACTTTTTACAAATACAATGCCACACAGACCTCTAAGCAGTTCTTCACTTCCAGACATATTTAAACAAATTACTTAATATCTAATTATTAATAATAGCAAAGTAATAACCAAATTATTTATGGTAGTTGTTTGGTTTAGTATCAATGCATCAGGCTTTGGGATGTTTACCTGGCATGTTATGTATGTATGTATGTATATATGTATGTGTGTGTGTGTGTGTGTGTGTGTGTGAGAATTCGGACTCAAGTGTAAATTTTCACACGTTGGTATAGTTTATTTTTATCATTATTTCCTTTTTCTTTTCCCCTCTCGTGAAGTAAAGAGTAGACCTTTTGACACCTCAGTGTACTGTGTTACCTCGAAGGTGACTTTAATCCTCCGAAGAAGGACTCCCCTCACACCAGGGGATCGTTCAATTCTAATGTAAATATGAGGTGCAGATAAGCAACCAATTAGAAACACCAAACACATGTTACTGTCTAGAAAGTAACCAAAAGGTCACCGACGAGGATAAAACAAAACCCTGTACTCCCCTCTAAGTCCGATCGACCTGATGAGAAAGTCAATCTAAATGACCAAATAAGGCAATGATTTTTACTAAGATGGGGAGACATATTCTGACATGAGTCATCTCACGTCAATAAGTCAGGGAGTTTGACAAATTTATGATGGGAAGCTGTCAAATATTGGACGGAAAGGATGACAATAACATAAACACAGCTGTGCGCAAGTCGAGCTGGCAATTGCATCAGATTTTCTTCCCCCATGATTCCCCCTCTGAGATAAGTATAAAAAGGGGTCAAATTTGCACCTCCGGGCAGACAACTGAAGAGGACCCCGCCAGGTAAACACCCTCCGCAGACATCTCCCTGCAGACCTCTACAGTCGGAGATTAACGGAGCGTACCCCCCACATCAGACATAGCCGAGCGGACTTCAAGAGACACCAGCTTCATACCGCCATACCATCCATTGCTCCATACCGCCATCCAAGGGAAACTCCGATTAGGAACCTCCGATCCCAGTGCGTCCTACCAATGCCTAATATGATGAGATCGAATCCCAGGAGGTAAACCCTTGACCGATTTGTGTCTCTCTCTCCAAAACATCCTTCTTAGAGAGGTATCTCTCTCGTTCTCTAGTTTAGGGTAGAACGTAGATTTAGAATAGATTCCTTTTATTATTATATGTGTGTCATTTCTGCTTTTGCCTTCGATATGTATAATCTCTTAGTACTTTAATAAATGTGTTGTTAGTGTTCACCTTGTCTCATTGATAACCTGTCTACGAATTTCATGACCTTTCCACTCATTTTTGCCCTCCTATAGCCTCTGACCGGAGCTACAGGTAAGTGGGGAGAAGCTTGACACTTCCCCCCCTCGGTTCTCACATATACACCATGATGGGTAAAGTCATAGAGGAGGAGGTGGGCATAGGAGTCATCCCAGCTGGCACTGTGAGTAACTGTAAATGGTTATATCTAGGTTTAATTAAATATGTCTGGAAGCAAAGAATTGTTTGGAGGTCTGGGTGGCATAACTGGCAGCACACCATATGGTAAGCAAAGATTGTGGGTTAGTTCTTTTCTTCTGGGCTGTTCTAAATTATTTAATGAATTATTAAATTATTATTATAATTATTAATTTAGATAAGAGATGGTGCCTAACATCCACCTCTAATACCAATTACTTAATATCTAATTATTAATAATAGCACAATTAGTTACGGCAATAGTTTTGTTTAGTATACAGCTATTTTATAACTATATGTGTCACTATAAAAACAGATAATTGTTTGTAATATACCTATGTGCTCACATACCTGTTTTTGAACATAATGTTAATGTCAAGATAGTGGGTCTTTCCATTGCTGTATTTGTTCAGTTTTGAAGTCAAGCCATAGGGGTTGTTGTTAAATGCCTGTAACACTATTTATATGTGGCTTTGATTACCACATAATTAAAAATTAAGTAAATTAATTAAAAATATCATCCACATAGTGGGTGTGTAAGATAATTCCAAGAACAAATTCCTGCAGTACTGTACTTTCTAGTATCCTTATCCTTACCAATAATTCAAATAAGGGCCAAGTGATTACCTCATTTCTGCATGTATGTTTGATTGTTAATTGTAAAGAAGGACATGTAACAGTGTGTATGAGCTAATCCTAATATCTTGTTGATAGAACAATCTGTAATAGGAGATCCCAAAGAGCACAAAAACAAAGCTCTAACACAGGGGTCACCAAATTTTTTGTACAGCGGGCCAGATAACTGAAAGAATGTCAAGCTTGGGCTGCATAACCATTTTGTTCAATATTGTATACTAAATACACAAAAAGAAAACAACATATTTATTTACCAATACACAAACACGATTGCTTCAGCAAGCTTGTAATTGCTTTTCTTAGAAACTTCATTCCAGGTACTTACACAAAAAGCGCTCTGATATCCAAAAAGTTGCCGAATTTTTCATTTCACAGATTTTCATAAACATTATATTACTGTGAAATGCAAAAATCAGATTGACCAATTTTGGCATTTTTACTTACACTTATTTTAATTTTTTTTTACATAATAAGTTCATCTACAATCTATGATATTTCCATATACTGTAAATAATTATATTTTAGCTCATTTGTGGCACAGTGCTGTGGTGGGCCAGATAAAACTGACCTCATGGGCCATAGTTTGGTGACCCCTGCACTAACGTAATAGACGGGCACTTGGAAATGAAATCTAGTATCATGAGATGTTCATCTGTCAAAGCAGTTTCATTTAATTTGTTAACGTTATGCAAGTAAATTTCATTTACTTGCATCTCTTTTTTGTCAACAATTGGATGCAAGTAAGTGGTTGCATCCAATTGTTGACAAAACTAGGTCACTGACAATAGGACTTGAGAGGCAAATACATAAAATGTTACAGTGAAGCACATCAGGGACCATAAATACACTGTCATGGATATGCAAGTAAATTTTCAGTATTGTAGAATTATTGCAGAATTTTATTCATTTTCATCAGATTTAAATTTTTATTTTAATTTATAGAATTTTTTGAAGTAAATTGAAGTAAAGTAATTTAGTTTCTAAAATTAATTTCATTATAGGTTATTGGAAGAAAAGGTACAGCGTTTGAGCCACTTCCAGGAATGCCACCTCTACATTTACCTCCTCCTCACATGCCTCCACCTTTTCTACTTCCTCCACCTGAACATAATATAAATATAGCACCACCTGGACCAGTTCCACCACCTGGTTTACCCCCACCAAATATTCAAGCTACTCCGTCGGGAAATATGGGAAATCAAGATGGAAATTTCCAAGATTCTTTCGATTCGTTTAATCAAGCTTGTTACGTGCCGTCTCATTCTGTTCCTGGTAATGATCGACAAGCACATTTTGACGAAATGGCTGGTTTCTACAATGGAAATCAGTCGTCTCATAATCAATTTGACATGCCCTCGGAATCTACTCAACAAAGTTGGGGGAATTCCCCACGTGATAGAGAGAGGTCGAGAGAACATGATCGCGAAAGGGATCGAGAACACGAAGAACGAGACAGAGAACGTGATAGGAACCATAATCGTAGCGGATACGCACAGTGGGATTATTCCAGGGATCGTTCTTCTGGTCGTTCTCCGGCAGTGGAGGAAGAGCATGACAGAAGAAGGTACCGCGAATATCACGATCGCCCACGCGAGAGAGAGAGGGATCATAATTGGGAACGCGACAGAGAAAGAGACGAACGATACGAGCGAGACAGGGATCGAGAAAGAAGACACAGGGATCATCACAGAGACAGAGAAGAACGTTACAGAGATAGATCCTCGAGACGAAGACATCAACACGAAGAGGAAGAACACGAGCATCGCTCTTCTCGTCACAAACACAAACGATCCAAACGAGAAAAAGAAGAAGAAAACGGTGGAGGAGAATCGCAGGAAGCAGAAGCGACAAGTTCTGCAGGAGGAGGAAAATCGAGCGGAACGGCAGCCGAGGGGGAAGAGAAAAGTTCGTGATGTACATAGCCATCATCAATTTGCATCATTGTTCATACAACACTTTTGTCAAGATCAACTTTACTTGTCATGCATACAAATATTTGAGCTACTGTAACACTCACTATTAAAATAATTTTATATAATTTTCAGTTTATATAGTAATTTGTAATTGTTCTGAAACAAAATAAAATGATGTAGAATGTTTGACTCGATAATAATACAAAACAAGTGTTTAAGATTAATTTACAAGTAAAAATTTATGGTTTTGTAAATATTCCAAACAAGGAAGGCTGTTAAAAATTTTCAGCAGATTGTAAATATTAACATAGATAATTTTGTTTAAAGAATAACAATAACTGTAATTTTTATGCATGAGTACTGCAAATGAATTAATTTTTTTTTCCAATATTTTAATCGTATTTTTATTTTTTTCTATCATTTATCGTTAATGTTTACAGAAAATTTGCCATGCCTTTGTTGAAGAATACACTTAGATCATTTGTATGTTATATTTGGTATGTTTGCTAGGTTTGTCCTCTCATAAATTTTGTATATTCAGAAAAATTTAAATCACTTCATGCCTTTTAATATGTATTAATTCATTTACATGTAAAATGTTATGTCAAAATAATATATCATTGTATCTGTTTAGACAAATTTTTTATTTTAGCAATATTCGTGTAATGATACATTACACGGCTATTGCTAAAGTAATACACCGATTCTCGATTATAACAATGATATAATTTGCAAATAGTGGCTTAGATTTTTGATAATATATTATTGGGAAGTTCAGCAACCAGTTTGAAGAATACAAGTAATGGTAAGTGTATTATTTTTGCAATGTAATTTTTTAAAGTTTTCAGTGATTATATGTAATAATGTTTTTGTTTGTTACAGTTATAATTTTCATCTGTACCAAGATGAATAATTGTCCAGCTTGCTTTTTACATTTCCTATTCCAGAAAATTTATATGTTTGCATAATCTTTGGTATTATCGAATGTTTTTTGCCAGACACCATTAGAATCTTATTAGGATTGTAAGCCACTTCTATAAGCAAAAACTGAAAGGATCTATGGGTCAAGAAGTGGCTCTCTCTCAAGATATTCTGTTCTAATGTTATCCTTATGATTTTGCCAAAATTTTTCATGTTTTTATAAAGATTCGGCTCAAACGTTTACTGGAAGGAATTATAATTTCTATCTGGTATAGTTTAATTTTTGATAAGTTATACTATGCAGCAGCAATTCTATGCACTAAATATCTTCATACTGGCAACGCAATTCATGTCAAAGCTGAATGGTGAGGTGGTTGATAACATACTACTGTGGGTCTGATTGAATTCTGGCAGTTGAAAAACCTTAAATTTTTCATGAGTTGCCACTCGAAAAATTCTGAAAATCTGCCTCCACTTTCGGCCTGTTGAATCCACAATGAATGTGGGAAAAGGCCATTAGTGCTCGTAAAGTGACTTTAAAAAACACTTAAGATATGTTAACATTTTCATTAAATTTTGTGATCTTTCCATATTTTAGGCAGAAAGCTTTGGAGGCTCTCGAGTCACTCTTGTATCCACGGTTTCTGTTTGCTTTTCATGTAGAAATTGATAGTCATTACATGGTATTACAGCAAAATGAAAATCTTGCGTAAGAGAAATTTTGAAAATACTAAACTATATTTTAAAATGTGTTTAATGAATTAAACTGTTGATATATAGTAGTACGCACGGCGAAAGAGTAGACATGAGCCAGCCTGAGCGGGAAGGGTCTATGTCAGATGAAAGGAATGGACGGAGATGTAGGAGTTGGCACATGGATCAGAGTAATAAATAAACCAGCAACGAATTGCAACGTTTAAAATTGTCTGTTACCATATTTTATTTAAAAGAACTTTATACTTAACTATTATAAAACGGCAGAAGGCTTCATTTTGAGGGTACGGGTGGGTTTTATAAAAATGTAAATACTTATGACGATTTTACTTATTAGCAAGTCCGACATTCTCGACCTTTAACCACTAAAATTTAATAGCATCGATCCCCTAATACCTTCCTGGCACATGAGTTAAGCTTCAAAGAGGGTGAACAATAATGTGTCCCCCATATTTTAACATCCATACATATAGAAATTATCCCCAAATTGTTTTCATTTCTCGGTGTTTTAAGGTGTCCTAAATCCAAAAATGTAAAAGTTGGGGTCACTTTTTGACCGATCGCCATACTTTCCTTTGTTATACATAACAGATGGGAAATTTTCATAAAAAGGAAATAATGAAGTTATTTATGATAAAGATGGTATAAAAATTAAAAACAAAATAGGTGAAATAAATTATTTCCATGTGTTAACTCCCACGTCTCCTTTCCTTCCATCTGACATATAGGGCCAGTTCATGCTGACTACAGTTAAAAGTACACTTCATTATGTAAACGAATGACATTCAAATTGCATTGTGCATATAGAGAAAATATTTTGTCAAAAAATTACCACCGAAATTATACTCAATTATGTTCAATATTATGCAGTGGAGTAAAGATTTATAAGATATTAACATTTTTAACAAAACTTTGCAATTAAGGAAATACATTGAAGATAATTTGATTTGATTTTGTAAGCTATTTTTAAATCATAATTAGTAATATTGTTTTTCAATTTCTTTTAATGATAGTGCTGAATATAATATAGAATATAAAACTGCGATTCTTCTAAAAAAGAAACTGGAAATAATAAGGTAAAGTTCAATAGGTGTTTAAAATACAGGGTTAGAAATAACTTCCCAACTCGGATGCTCCGGAACATGTTCTGCTGTCGAAGTGAAACTTTTGAACAATGCGCTCGCCAATTATAATTTTTCGTACGAAAAATACTATAATATAATTTAAGTACGAAATGATGTAATAATCTTAATCTTTACTGCTGTTGTTCTTTGCCCGAGCAACGCCGATCACATCTGCTAGTTGTTGTTATAATTGCATATGCAAGTTGTATTACCAGAATATATTTTTAAGCTTTTTGCCTCAGGAGCTATGCAAATCGCGGTTATAAGTACAGTGGAACCCCGGTTAACGAATTTAATCCGTTCCGCGACTCCATTAACCGATGCAATTTTTCCCATAGAAATTAATGCAAATGCAATTAATCCGTTCTAGTCTCCGAAATTTTTGTGATTTTATTTGTAATATACAGTAATTTTCTTTGATGAAAATGTAGGAAAACGTAGTATCTATCATTACAGCAACAAACATGTAAACTTTGTTTAATAAACTAGCACTGTACATACATTCGTTTGTTGTATTGGTTGGTGGCAGAAAAGTGGAGATATACGAACCTTAATGATTAAAAGGGGAATCCCCTCCAAAAAATAACGGGTAGCACTTCATTGGAAGATTCTTCAAGTCGAAGTCTCTTTCGGTAAAAAACCCACCAGTGGCTAAGTGGTCTTCGTACCTTGAACACGGGGAGTTTGTTCGTGGGTTCACACCTCGCTCAGACGGGCTGGCCACGGGGAGTTTTCCGGATTTTCTCCACGTCTGTAACGCCTAAATAGGGGCCAGTTTCCCTTAAAAACACCTCCCAGAAGGCATTCCACTAGGCAGATCGCCCAAGTGTTGCGTTGCCATAACTTAACAAACAAACTCTTTCCGTAAGGAACAAGAAATTGATCTAAAGTTGATTGTCTTACTATTTTAATCAAAATTTTTCTCAAATGCGATAGCGCATTGTCGTTTATATTGCGTTGTCGTTTTCTATTGCCACTATGACTTTTTTCTTTCTTGGATGCCATATTGATTAAATATATACAGTCGACCCCCTATAACGGAAATTCCTATAACGTAGCGAAAAAATTGTAGCAATATTCGTATAAAGTGACTCGTAAAACGTCGTCGCCACTCCTGTCGCGACAAGATTGATAGAATCTGGACCAATAGTGGATGAGTAGCCGAACTACTTTCCGCCGCCCTGCGCCACGCTATGGAGAGTTTAGGCTAGTAAGTTGAGTTTATTATCGTCTGTACAGTATGTAAATTAGGTATCGTAAGTCTAATACAGTACTGTAATTTTATACATTTCTTGTGAAAGAAACATTTCTTATTCAATGGCCATAAAAATTATTTATATTTATGATGTCTCCAAAGGTCAACGAATTTTTCGCAGAAAAATAAATTATTAGAAATCGCGGCCGCCGTTTGGTGCGCTGTTCCGCGACGAAAACAAGGGTAAGCAACGGCGTAGTCGAACGGTGCACAGTCGGTAAGTAATCCTACAATTTTTTGTTTATAGCATAGTTTATACGGATTATTCCCTAAAAATGATACGTGTTTTGAAAATGTTGAGTCGAATTAGTCTAGAATCGGTTAATTTTATGGAAGAAAACCTTTCAAACAGCCGTAATCCGTAAACTTCACACGTGTCGGGCTGTTATTGGCTCATGTATTTAAGGATTCCTACAACGTAAAATTCTTATCGCGTGGAACGTATCTGCGCGTTATAGGGGGTCTACTGTAAATAAAAAAACTGAAAAAAGGAGTATAGCACAAACACTCGGAAAAGCAATGCTTAACTCGCGCATGCCTAACACCAACTAAAATTTTACACAAAATACCGTTACGTTCGTTATCCGAGACAAAGTTTTTGCAAAATAAAAGTTCGTTAACCGGGGTTCCACTGTATTTAATATGTCGTCCTTAGTTTCCAACAACGATCTCCATTCTCAGAATGGCGTTAAACAAGAAATATATTTTATTTAAATAGGCTACAAATGACTAGTATGTTATGCTGTACGTAAATATGTAATTACGAAATACTAAAATAAATATTAGGAATACTTTTGAGTAACGTAGTGTTTACATCACGTCGAAATTGATAATCTAAATGACTAACAAGTAAGTAGAGAATTTCTTTATAAAGTGTTTCGTGGGACTTCTTACTGTTTAGTTGCTAAACTAGATCATTCATTACACTACTACGTTTTTTTTTTATTTGCTAGAGTGTAAAAACTTACATTTCGGACCATTGCCCCCATCAGCTGGCCTATATTAATATAATTAATTATATAAATAAGTAGATAAGTCCCGAAAGACTTTGGGATATCTACATCTTAAAATTAACAAATATACATAAAAACAAAGCAATTATATAAAATTAAAAATTATACAATGCATTTTTACATTTTAATTTAAAACAAAGATTAAGAAATTTTTGCTTTCGCTTACATAT